AATTCGTGGAATATTTAAGTAATGGCTTTGTCGGAAAACCCCACGAATATGCTGAAATTGCAATCACAGGGGAAGCTAGTAAAATTATGATTTTATTTTATGCGGTCTTACTGGATCAAATTTTGTAATATACTCACTCATCCTTTGTGTAATATAGTTTTGTATTCATTATAATTTTGGATAAATTAAATGCTGTGTTGCGTTTTCTTTGAAATATTTATTTAGTTTTTCTAATTAAGTACAAATGTTACAAAAATTTAGTATTTAACATTATGTGTATAAATATTTAGTCGGTAAAGAGAGAATAACCAAAATAAACAATTAATTAGATAAAAGATAATATAATAAATATAAATATGTGAATATGCTTGTAAAGAATTAAATGTCTGAAATTATTTGGACATGATTGGATACTTGAATAAAGGAATAAATGGAAGTCATAGATTTCAAGCATAGACATGTAAATTTTAAACAGTTTACGATATGCTAAACTTTTACACCAACATCAATTTTTGACATGTTACGTATTTTTGTCAATGTCTCAATTATTAATAGTACATCGGTGTAAAATTTTTATATATGTTAATAGCAAAAAAGGAGTGATGAATAACGCTTTGTATAAATGAGACAAAGTCCCACGTCGGTTCTGCTATGCAGTAGTATTTGTACTGCAGCTGGAATGTTGTATAAGTATCGCGAAACAGTTAGAAATGTTGCAAGTCTTTAGGACCAGCGGGTTTGGGAACTTTAGCTAAAGAGGCATTGACATATTCATGTGAATTTTAAAGTGGTTCTCTGCTTTAGTATTAGCTGCTTTTCACTTTAAGTAGGGAAATAACTAATATTAACCTAAATTAAAATATAATAGTCGATCTATATTTTCAATACAGAATTGTATTCATAGTCTTATTTTTTATTAAATTTGAGTCAAACTACAGGTCAATGCTAAGTCAAATATTTCACTGAAATATTTTAAAATAATATTGAATTTGACAAGGAATATTGTTAACAGCTATCAGATTTTCATGGAATATTGTTGGAACAGCGTGGTATACCAGATATTGTAATTGCAGTTAGGATTCGATCCGGATCTATTCTCTTTAATAGTATCTCTCCATTAATTGTCAAATTTACGTCTGTTTGAATGCAACATCTTAGAAAGGCGCTTCATACAATGGCTGAATGTGCTGGAAACTATGAACAAAGTAAGTAAGAACTTCTTGTTTAAAATTAGCGCAAATATTTTCAACATACGAATTAACAAAATCACAACAAGCTAAAAGGCAAGAATTATAAATAAAATAGTTCTTATAGGTTTAAAACTGAGTAATATTATATAATATTATATGGTTATAGAATTAGAGTAATTGCTTCCAATAGGAGTGACATTATCTCTGATAGATAAAGTTAATTGTAAGAAATAAAAAATAAAAAACAAAGTCAATATTTGCTTCATCATTGGTGTAAACTAAATGTAATAGAAATGTGCTAGTCAAAATTAACTCATTTAAGTATATGGATTATATTAAAAAAAGCAACTTTCATACTACTAAAAATATGAATTCCAACGAGACCTAAGATTTTCGCCGGTATTAATTTGAATGAAACTAATTTTACACAGAATCCTACGTTATATGTCGTCTCAATATCTCATTGCCCGTTATCACGGTTGTTGAAAAGTAACCGAAAAGTCGTGAGTATGTATGTATACATATATAGTTTAAAAAAAAATACTCGTAGTAATCTGAATAATATTAGTTTCACTACCTAATAATACATTTTGCATTGTATATATCATTTGCAATGATAAAATATATGATAAAGCGACCACTGCAGTTTGATTAATTTTCTGTACGGTAACTTGCGACTAGGGTCAGACGTTGAGCGCTAACGAGCTTCAGTGACAGATGCTTTCACGATCCAGTGACGCCGTGAGAGACCGTCGCTCCCGTTGTGTAATGGTGCAGAACAAGCTAGAATGGTATGTTTTAAGGCTGCACGTATGGTTCAGAGCGATTTTTCTAAATTATTAAGGAAATTTCATTAAAACTATAAAAGCTACTTAAAGATATTTTTTATTAAAAACTAAATTATTTTAACTAACTTAATTTATTACATCAATTGCAGACATATGCTGCAGATATCTATCAATAGAATATTAAACAAGATAGACAATTATACCTGGATTTTAAGAAAATATTTTTATAAATATCAATTATAATGAATTTTCGGTAAGACTATTGAAAATTAAAACAGGATTATACAACAGAACCGCGGGAGTCGCAAAGCAAATTAATTATTTACCTCCGAGACGCTGCCGTCAGAAGACGCAAGCTTTCTAAATAATAAAGCAGAATTAGTAAACGTATCTTGTTTATTTGTGAAGTAAATCAACTTAAGCAAAATTAAATAATAGAACTAATAAAAGACATCGTATGAAAAAGGTGTATTTGTTACTTACAGGTAATAAAGTAATTTAGTTATCTTACAGTTTGTTGTGATATGTATTTATATTTTAAGGTTATTGTAGATAATATTTCATCTATAAATTGAAACTAGTACATGGATCATTTGACGATTATAATTGTTTCAGATAAGAGCTTTTTTAAAGTCCAAAATCCCAGGCCGCAAGACCTGACTTATTTTCTTATGGACAGAACGTAGATAATAGGTTAGTATTAGTGTCTGCAACAAACGTAGACATATCTTCTAGCTTATACCGTATGTAATATGTCACTCACTTTAGTCATAGTTTGAGGTCTGTTTTTTACGTATGTTGTAGAAAATATTGTAAAAAATTTCAATTTAATTTTGAAACCTTCTCCTGGTAAATTTACCAGACACATTAAATATTGACAGAAAATAAGATTTTCATATTAAAAATTTAGGGGACTATTTAAATGCATTTTATAAGTTGTCAGACTAATCCCAGGAGCCAAATATACATCTTCTATAAGTACCCATCCATTCGGCATGCATGATAATAAAGTGCCTTTTTAATACTGTTTCATTCAATTATCTTGCAATTTGTCCCGTATTGTTTTTAATAGTAATTAAATGATTTATTATCATCTAATTGTCCAAACGATTTCAGAATATTGCTTAAATCATACGAATTTATAGATTTTTGTTGGCGATATTTAAAATATTTGGTTGAAATTCTGCCAACAGAAAGTGTTTAGCAGTACTTATTTTAAATTATGTATAATATTGCCAACAAAATAGGAATTGCAATAGGTTAATAGAAAATATTAAATTTTATCAGGTAAATCATTCAAATATAAAAGTTTTGATTTTTTATTTGAAATAAAAAACTTTTGATGTATAGGTGTGAAAAAAGTTCAGACTTTTAAAGATTTATAATCAATTTATATTATAAATAATTGCGAATAGTTACAGTGTTCCTATAGCGTGGAGATATCCTTTAGAATCTTTTTTCAAAATTAATACAAAAAAATTAACAAAAGATTTATATTTCGTCTAAAGTATTTTAAGAGTTCAATTTACAAGAAATTATTAACAAACAAAATTATTTTTAAATGCAATGCAAGCTTGAACATTACCTATGTCTTTTTTAATTAGGAATGTATGTAGGTATTAAAGACGTTACGTATCGGTCCAATTACCTGCCTATCGTAACTACGTCGCATGTGATGTACTCTTATATATGTGATACGCCTTGCGTATCAATTTATATACGTTACAAATTGTCTACGAGAAAACCAGCTTCGTCATTTTATAAGGAAGAGAACCTACCGTAGAATAAACAACTAGGATGGAATTACAAGAGATAAAACTCACACACCACCGCATTACATAATGGCATTAAATTCCCAGACGTCATTTTGAATGCAAAAACCCTCTTAAAACAAAAACACGTACAACATGTTAACACGTTCCAAATATATAATCTTCAAACCACTTATTGTAACATTCGTCCCCAGAGTAAGTTGTCATGGAGCCATTAAGCAGTGTTCAATATGATGTCAAGTATAGTGTCCATCTCTGTAAATCCACTATAGTGTTGGAGTCGTCGCTCTCTTAATTTTTAAAGACCGAAATGATAAATTGATTAGTCATTAGGGCATCTTTATATTGATAATAAAACTGCATGGAACATCGAAGAAACGAACCATCTATGTGTACTAACGATAATAAATTCGTGAGTGGTAAGCCTAAATTTTTTTGCATAGAAATTTTACGGATTATGTATATAAATTGAATTAATAACTAATAATATAAATATATATTTTTTTTAATTTATTTTTTCAACAATAAATAATTCAATCCAATCTGACTTAAGTCTGAAAGTACCAAAACCTTTCAAAATAATGCATATCCACGACTTTGATTAATATGGCAAAAACTCTAGTGCATGTACATATATACATACATACATATGTTATTAAACGTCTTTTTCATACTGCTTTCAATTATGATTCATCATTAGCATCGATCTCAAGACCTATTCTTCATTTTCCCATCATTCACCCTACTAATTAACCCTTAATTTGATTTTGTTCACTGTGAGAAACATATGAGAAAAAAAATGATTTCGTTATATTTTTACACCAAATTCGTATTTTTTGTAATATTATCGTACCGTATATAATATTTTTTAATAGTAAAAAAATAGTCTACGCACCTAACAACACTTTCAGTTATCATTGTCAAAGCAAAATGTCAGCGCCAAGCAGGTCGTCTATGTTCCGCAAGGTAAATATAAAGATTTTACTTGATTTTCTATTGTTTCAAGTATTTTAATGCTTTTACTAACTTATCTAGACTATTTGTTATATTTTGGTATGTGAATTATGTGCCTTTATGTGAATCCTCAAGTTTTATGACCCGCCAAAAGCCTATGTTTATTGTGATGAACATTGCCAAATAACCTATAAAGTACCTACAATTTGTTATGTTCATCACGGTAAACGATGCCAAATACCTAATGATAAATTAATTCAAAATCATCACCATCTCTAGATTCATCTTAAGAGCGAATGCATATTTTAAGCAGTCCTGAACCTGATGCTGAAGATCTTGACACTGGGGACGATCCACCTGAATTTGATTTTACAGAAACATCATTGCAATTGACTCCAGTTCTACGTCAAATTTGCCCAGCTACGCCGATTAGAGAACCAAACTACGAGAACATACCTTCCTTATCTTCTATACCATCTCTTCCGTCTGAAGCCCCTTTATCAACTCCTGAAAGTGCTACCAGGAAAACTCGAGCCCAAAGGCACATTACTCCAGTACTGGCTAAAAGACGAAAGAAAGTTCCGAAATTCGTACTAACCTATAAATGGAAAAAAAGCGTCACCTTCCGTCACCAAGCTACAATTTAAGAAAACCAAGACCATAATATGTATAATAGATGCCTCTTTCCTGCCCACTGCAGATTCCCTAGAATATTTTAAATTTTTTTCTTCAGACATTGTGACCAATATTACTACGGTAATCAAATCTATACTCTGGTCAAAAAACTGGCAAATCTATTCAAGTGACAGAAGACGAAATGCGTGATTTTATAGCTATCCATATACTCGTACTTATGGGTATTGTCTCAATGCCTAGTGACCTAGACTATTGGAGCAGTAGATTCCGGTATGCTCCGATAGCAGATCTAATGAGTTTAAAACTCTATCAACAGATTCAACGGGTTCAAACCTGGCAAGTACCAATGTGAATTTTCGGAGTCATATGTACTTTCTGAGAGTATTTAGACACCACTGACATACGGTGAAGGAAAACATCGTGAGGAAACCTGGACTTATAGTTTCACAATTATAAGTTTGAAATCACCAACCCGTCTTGAGCAAGCATGGTGATTAATGCTCAAACCGTCTCCACGTGAGAAAGAGGCCTTGCTTAGCAGTGGGCGCTGATAGGTTGATGACGATGACTGCATGAAATATAATATTACGAGTAGACTCTGTTTTGTTACCGGAAAAAAATCTCGTAATTGTTTTCTCAATTTTCATACAAAATAATACAAAGTTTTTTGTGAAATGCTAGAAGAGGTTCTATTATGTTATAAAAGATATTTTGTTATGTCTTTGTTTTGTCTTTTATATAAATAAAAATATTTTGTAAACCGCCACTACCTGTTTGAATGTGTACCCTAATTTGATTATGTTCATCACAGTAAACATTACAATAAAGTGGTATTTCTCAACAGATTTGGCAATGTTCACTCTGATGAACATTGGTTTCCTGGAAACCTGAAGGTCGCAACATTTTTTTTTTATTTTTTTTGGATTCCTTACTACCCTAAACTTATAAATATACATAAATTTTACATATATATAACACATTGAACTTCTGCCAAATTAAGGGTTAATGACTTTTTAATTGAAAACCGATGAGTCTTCAACTTCATTATTTTGTATATGTGGTATTATATTATATTAGCCTAGCCTTTTTCAAACTTGGGTTGTATTTTGTTGTTAATATTTTATGTTGAATGAATAAAAGAGTATAAGACGTATTCCCATACTATAATATATTAGTCAAGAAATTGTGTTTGTATATATGTTTTTATTATATTGACTGGATATCTACTGATTTCTACTACTACTTGACTATTATTCTACTTTTTAGTATATGAAAATGAAGTAGTAGATAGTGAACGTACTCTCTAAATGCAGTCTATTTCATATAGCCTTGAAGGCAAGGCGCAAACTGTTGCAATCTTCTATGCAGTTTAGTTTTATTTAAAAGTTAAGCTTAAGTTAGTTCATTTCACCCCATCGCGTTGGTGGCCACCCCCTTATTTGGCTTTCTTGTTTTAATAATTTTTAAGAGTGATAATGGCTGTTTTTACAATCTGAGGATAGGAAGCTAAAATGAGATCAGTTTGGAAGCGGTCTTAGACGAGTTCCCAGTACTACTATATTAAGTTTATCAGGGTGGCCTATGGAGGGGCCATTTCACTTTGAGAAAGTAGATAGTACCGGTGAAGGTATCCAAAAGACCCCCAAAATTTCCAGGGCACCTGGGTCAAGCTGTGTATCCTTCTTTACTCCCTTGCCCCCTTTCCTGAATTATCATCACCCAGATTGAGGACTTTGAATCGCTTCTACACTTAATTTATTAATTATATTTGTTGGATACAATACATAGGTTCATAGGTAAATATTAAAATGAACGTCTTTTAATTTTTAATTCCATTTTAATTTTGTTTTCAGCTGAATAAGTTTTTGTTTAATTAAAAACTTGGATTAAAATATGAAACATGAAATATAAAAGAACTATCAAGTAGAAAAAAATATTATAAATATTTCGTTGCTGCTGTTCTTGCGAAGTAATTTTGAACTACAGTTTAATATTAATGAAGTGTTTACAAACCCGCAGCGACTTATACTTTTTCTTGTTTATTTCCAAGCAAAGTGCTTTAAAGTTTGATTGACTTTTCAATCATAAAACACTGTTTAATTTACCCTTTAAGTGAAATTTTAAACCTAAGGAACCGCAGAACTTTAAATAATTAAATCTTATATTAATTAAACCGGGCTTCTCTTTTGTGAATCTCATATATGTATATGTTGTGTGAAGTTGGTTTAAATAGAATAATAGAGTTTAAGCGATTAGGAGATAGGTCATACTTACACTATGATGTGTCTGTATTGGTTTTTGATATCATTAAATGGCATGGTACGGTAACGGTTTAGTTTTGGTTGGATGAATAACAACGTCTTAATTGTTATCTAGTACCGGAATAAGTTTCCGGTTACGAATACATGTCAGCTGCCTGTGGTAACTTGTAGAAAACATAAATGATAAACTGTTTTAATTTTTAATGATATCTTTTGCTATTATGTCTCTCATATGTATCTGAAAACTTGAACGAAACTTCAGAGCTATAGAATTAATGTTTCATTCATACTACAAACTGTGGTCTATATTTTAATAATTAATAAAATCGAGAAGTATATTTATTCAATTTTACGTTATCTTTTAGTGATAAACAGATATTTAATTATACAAATCTTATTTATTACCAATAGTTTTTTATCTATAAATAAAAAACTTTCAACACAAAAATTGGTTCCTACATGTCAAGAACATTTCAGTATATTTCCAGCAAGTGAGAAAAAAACATCACATTGAGTATGCCTCAGATGTTAAGATACTAGTATGTTGAGACATTTGACCTTTGAAAGAGAACGCTCGGATATCCGTCTGTCTAAAGTGTCATATAAATTTTGCTCAAGCTAAAACTCAAGCATGTTAGTAATAGAAAAATATGAACATAATTTTCGTATATAATGCATTAAAGTTCCTAAATATGTCGGTGTTGTTATTGTAGAAGAAAATCTTATTAATCTTCATTGTGGAATTATTATTTTTGGTTTCCCATTTTTAAACATACGTTGGATATTTGTAATAAAGCAATAAAAAATATTCACCTACATATATAATTCATTATACAAGTTATTACAAAAAGCACAAACATTTTGTTTGTTTATGAAACGACTGCTACAGCTTTGTAGACAAGTTAAGAACATTAATAATAAACAAATACTATAGTTATCGGATCCAAAGGGTTGGAACAGTTTGGGTGTCTTGTGATGTTTTATTGATAACGAGTCACAGATGGTTAGCACATACTAACGGAATTATACGTTTGCTATCAAAGACTTCATAATGAGTTATAAGACTTTCATTTAAATTAAACTAATATTTTTTTATAACTACTAGTTTTTATAACTTCAAACGTTTTGGTTACTTTTGCAGCAACCGTGATCACGGGCTAATGAGATGTAAATGTCAGATATATCATAAACGCGTAGTAATCCGAAAAAATGTATTTATTTAAAAGAATTTATTTTTATGTTCAATAAAAAGAAAAGCACAATAAGAAGTTGGAAAGAGTAGTCGAATTAAATAAAAAAGCCACAATTTGTTTTTAAATAACAGTGCATGAATTTCTAAATTTCTGAATTTCTAAATTATTTTAAACCCAGTAAGAGTAATGTTACAACTCTTGTTATAAATTATATATGTATATTAGCCAGTTTTAGCACTGACAGCCATCGAGTCTCTAAGCTCGCCTTAAAATATTTTTTTACGCATTTTATATGGCACATAAAGCATGCCATTCTGTAAATTATGTAAGTATATTATTTTATGTATCAATCAATGATGATGTACAGTCCATTCAATTCGTCTTTGGAACTCTCTTCCACTCGAAGCAAGACGTGAACCAACTATGACTTCTTTTAAAAAAATTATAAAAGAGTACTTAGTATCTTGCTTCATGAAGAAATATTGCAATTAAATATTTTATTTATTATATAAGTATATATTTATGGAATATTTATTTATGTATCTATTTTTTATGTATTAAGTAATTTGTACACCCCTACCATCCTATCTCTCTCCTTTACCAAATGTTGCCTGGAAGAGATCGCTGTTTTAGCGATAAGGCCGCCTATTTGTACATTTTCATTTCTTTGTTTTTCTCTTATTATTCTTGTCTGTATTGGTGTACAATAAAGAGTATATAAATAAATAAAATTAAATAATTAAATAAATAAATGATGTCATCAACCATAGGGGTATGAAATAAATATTAATTACACATACAAAAAAGACTTCAAATATTAAACTAATGAAATAAATAGATTTACTTAGGTTTTAATTTATTTAAAAGCCGAGTGAGACAGTAAATATGTGTAGATATTATCAATCTTTCTAATCAATATCTACATGCTTTATATTAATTTATCATTATGTAAAAGAATGTTGTTTTACTTAATTGTGATTTCAACTAAAGTCCACCTAGGTACGTATTGACATATTAAAACCAACCTTTTATTGTAGTCAGACTTTTATATGTACATCATCATCATCAGCCAAAAGACGTCCATTGCAGGACATAGGTCTCTCCCAAGGATATGTACATATATTGTTTATTATTTATTATATTGTGTCATTACTGTCATAAAATTTTGCACACTCAATTGTAGTTCTTTTTGTTTTTAATGATCATATCATAACTGGAGTACATTTATTATTTTAATATTAACATTATGTCTCAGTCGGATTCAGTTTTCTATTAAATGAGTTTTCCTTTATTGTGTATTTGTAAGAAAGTTCTTTGTTAATATGCTAAGTTCTTAGTTATATAATATAATAATATCTAAAATGTAAGTATTGTAAATGGTACATATATGTAATATATTTCTAATATTGTAATTTGCATGGAAAATTTCAAAATTATGAAATAGTTATTAAAATATTTCATAAAGTAAATGGATATATCGCTTACTTTGTTGTAAGTATGTATATATTTATATTCTGTTTTATAAGTTTTGATTTCAATACTGTCTTTTTTACTTTA